CTTTCACGTTCAAAGCAATGCCCCTAGCGTTGGCCAGTTCCTGCTGCCGGCAATCCGGCAAGCATGAACTCTGCCCCTGTCCCACCCCCTCGCGGCTGTCCCCGGGAAAGATCCCTGTATGCTGCCCCTCTCCCGCCTCCACTGCATGGCTGTAAACCGCCGGTTACAGTTATGTAAAGGAACAGGCAAGCAGTCCCAATACTAACATTCCCCTAATTCAAAGCAGGTCACCATGAGCGACATCACTCTGATGAGGATTTCTGACACAGAGAAAGACCGCATGCTGCGTGAAAGCCAGCAAAAACCAGGGCCGTATGCCGCCATGCTCTGCGAGGCAATGATCCCAGAGTACTTGATGATAGCCTGGCGCGGAAAAGTTTCCTACCATGGAGGATGCAATAAGGCCGCTCTCCCCAGGAACCTCATGCAAAGGCTTTCCAATTTCCTCCAGGAGAGCTTCGTGGAGATGTCCCATGAGGATTTCAGCTCTATCCCCGGACATATTGACCTTATTTTCCAGTAGCTGCACTGGCAAGGACTAAAAAGTAGAGCGCCTAGGGCAAACTAATCATGATAAACCGGACATTGTTAGATTCTTTTGCAGTAGTTGCACTGCCAAGGACTAAAACGTTAAGCGCCTAGGGCAAACTAATCATGAAAAACCCATTGTTAATATTCCTGTTCTGTTCAAAATAAATGTTTACATGTTTAAAACACTTACCGACTGATCCTTCCCCTGATTCAGGGTCCGGGTTAACGCCCGGGGGGGGTTGGTAGGGGATCTCCGTGAGGGTGATGAAGAGATCCTGGCTGTTGGGGAAATCAGCGTTGTATGCGCTGTCGACTGCCTTGTCCTCCTCATTTCCTTCCTCATCTTCCCCGTCCGCTAACATCTCCGAGGAAGCGACCGTTGACAATATCCCATCCTCAGAGTCCACGGTCAGTGGTGGGGTAGTGGTGGCGGCCGCACCTAGAATGGAATGCAGTGCCTCGTAGAAACGGCATGTCTGGGGCTGGGATCCGGAGTGTCCATTTGACTCTTTGGTCTTCTGGTACGCTTGTCTCAGCTCCTTGATTTTCACACGGCACTGCATTGCATCCCGGCTGTATCCTCTCTCCGTCATGGCTTTTGAGCTCTTCTCATAGATCTTCGCATTCCGTTTCTTGGAGCGCAGCTCCGAAAGCACGGACTCATCGCCCCACACAGCGATCAGATCCAAGACTTCCCGATCAGTCCATGCTGGGGCCCTCTTTCTATTCTGAGATTGCATGGTCACCTCTGCTGGAGAGCTCTGCATCATTGCCAGTGCTGCTGAGCTCGCCACGATGTCCAAACAGGAAATGAGATTCAAACTGCCCAGACAGGAAAAGGAATTCAATTTTTCCCGGGGCTTTTCCTGTGTGGCTGGTCAGAGCATCCGAGCTCGGACTGCTGTCCAGAGCGTCAACAGAGTGGTGCACTGTGGGATAGCTCCTGGAGCTATTAGCGTCGAATTCCATCCACACCTACCCTAATTCGACATGGCCATGTCGAATTTAGCGCTACTCCCCGCGTCGGGGAGGAGTACAGAAATCGAATTAAAGAGACCTCTATGTCGAACTAAATAGCTTCGTTGTGTGGATGGGTGCAGGGTTAATTCGATTTAATGCTGCTAAATTTGACATAACCTCCTAGTGTAGACCAGGCCTTAGACTCAGGGCCCTCTGCACGTAGCCTGTCAGAGAAAGAGGGTGACATTATTGTGCTCTAGATACCCCAGGGTAATGCTGGAGTAACACCACTGAAGTCACTTGTGTAAAGGAGTGGCTGTAGCCCAGTGTGTTTATGGGAAATACAACCACAGTGTGGCAGGGCTGTTTGAACACTCGGACTCTCCCTCGGACTCTATCTGTGCTGCGCGTGTGCAAAGGAACTCAGGCTCAGCCCCCTCAACAGTTGAAAGACCTCTCAGGTGTTTGGGTCCAATATTGCTTCCATTAATTTGGGTTCAGAGCCCACTGGTTCCACCCCATGTGACAAACAGCTGAATTTAGCCCAGACCAGAAACAGTTGATTAGCCTCAGGATTTCTTTATAGGCTGAGCGCTGGCAGTAACTGCAGCAAAGCAGTGTAGGGTACGTCTACACTACAGCAGCAGAACTACAGAGCTGTAGATGTGCCCCGGTAGCGCCATAGCATAGACACATCCTACATGGACAGATGGGGTTTTTCTGTCAATATAATCTACTTCTCGGAGCGATGGTAGCTCGGTTGCTGGAAGAATTCTTCTCTCAACCTTCTACATCAACAGTGGGGGTTAGCTCGCCCTAACTACGTTGCACAAGGTATAACATTTTTCACAGCCTGAGCAACGTAGCTAGGTTGATCTAATTTTCAGCTGTAGACCATTCCTTAAGGCTTATGCCATAGTCCTGTTTGAGATGGGATCAGCAAGGCAAGGCCATGGTATAATAACAAGCCTCCCTGTGTGGTTAGTCATGTGCTTATCCTAATCGGGCTAGAGTAGGAGGCAGGATGAGGGGGCACTGCCTTAAGAAAGTGCTTTGTCCCATGAGAACTCTGCCCTCAGATATGTGTGTAACCCTCATGGGGCTGGACCTTGCTCTCAGTGAGCCTAGCGCACAGCAAAGGAGTCATTCCAGATTTACACAGGGGATGCGCTCAGACGCTGCTTCCTCAGTGGGAGATTCACGCTTGCCACTGATGGCCAAACTGTGTCTCCCCCAGGGAAATGAGACTGCTCTGGAACTATCACCCATGGGAAAAATAGAAGTAAAATGTCTACTTCCCTCAGCTTTACTTCCCTCAACCATGATCAACTGATCATGTTGCCAACTACCCACTGCACATGACACAACCCTCAGGGGCTCTTCAGCCATCACCTACGGAGCACCCTGGGTTTCATCTGACTTGAGCTACCAGGACTCCAGCGTAGCCCCGTCTGGTATGTCAGCAGATGTACTGTCCCTCAACCTCCAAAGTGTCCCACTATAGCTCAAGAGCAGATTGGGGGGGGGGGGGGGGGGGGGGGGAGAGAGCTTACAAGCTCCCTGACCATGACTAAGGCAGCAGAGGTAAGAGAAAGAGAGGCATTTCTCCATGCGTGGCGCCTCTCAGTTTCCTGGGTGTTCGCCTTTCCCCTCCCCACCCCATCTCCACACTTCAGGGGGGTGTCACTGCTCGGAGGCGGCGCCCCCTGGCTGTGCCTGGCAGGAGAGCAGGCACCTGCAGGGTGGAGTTTGTCTTTTCCTTGTTCTGCTCTTCTCCCGCTTCACCCATCTCATCACCCCCCACGGCTGCTCCCTCTCTAGCTCACCCCTCCCAGCTCCTCTCAGTTCTTCTCCCCACCTTTCCGCACCCAAACACCCCAAATCAAGCAATGCAGGGGCCCCTCTGGCTTAGCCACGTTGCTATCCCATGCAGCCTGCCACTCCCTCTCTCGGCTGCTCCTCATACAGACCCTCTAATCCCACGGGCTTCCACAGGGACTGTGGGGCTTAGGGCAGCCAAAAACACAAGGCTCAGGAAAGGGAGGAGGGGGAGGGGAGTTTGGAGAGCTGGGTTTAAAGGGGCGTGGGAAGGAAAAGGAGAGGGCTCCAGGCCGCAGTGCAGCACAATGGAAAGCATGAGGGTGGCAGGGGACAGAGGCGCAGCCACAGGAGGCAGGAGCTTAGGGAATGGAGGGTGCAGGGCCCTGAGTGTCATCAAGCTTGAGTGTGATGCAGAAGCAACTGGAAGGCTGGGGCGACGGGGGCAGGAGGCTGCTGAGAACTGTGCTTCAGGAGCAATGCGGGGAAAGGCTCACCCAGAGCGTTATGCACCCCTGGCCAAGCCTTTGGGGCTGAATGGATGCAGCCCAGCTTCTCCTGCCCTCCCACCAGACTGTTTTAAAGCAACAGGCACCCCTCCAGCATCTGTCCATCTTAGAGGGGAAACTTTGGGGTGTCTCCCTGCTGCAGGGGGGGGAGTCAGAGTCACATCCTGCCCTCAACCCACCTCATCCTGGGTACCTGCATCTGCAAGTCTGGGAGCTGGAATGCAGTGCCAAGAGTCCCCATTGAGTCCAATGGGCTAAGAAGGAAATTTACCTGCAGTTCTTGAACCATTGAGGAGTCCCATTCTCCCCTTGAGAAGGGGTGTGGTGCAGAGATGCCAGGTTCAAGACTTCAGCCAGCAAGGGACACAGAAGACTGAGCTCAGATCATGACAGAGCAGTAAAGGGGAAGCTGATCAAGGTATTTAGTTTAAAACCATTTATTTGAAGTCACTTGGTCTGTACATGCACCCCATCACCCTTCTGGGGTCTAACAGTATTTACCAAGCTTCGTGAGACTGTCCCTGCCATTATCTTGGTGGGTACGGGGGGGCCAGACAGGGGAAGCTGTGAGACACAAACAGCACTGGCTAGGAAGGGGCAGAACATGGCTAGGCAATGGGAGTATTTCCCTATAAGCCCTCAGCCCACATCAGCAGTGACCAAGGAACAGCCACTATTGCAACCCAGGGCCTACTCTGAGCAGAGACCCAGCTGAGATAGTGGCTTTGTGAAGCACACAAATGCTTAGAGGACAAGGGGAAGCCCATCTAATTAATTTCACTTGCACCAGGCTCGAGGTGAAAGGCCACCGCATTAAACCACACCTGCAGTGGCCTGAGTCTGTATCTGCACTCAGGTTTGGCCTGGGCACTCACCTGTCATGACAGAGGGGCAGCTGGGCCAAATCTGAGTTAGTGGTGGCAACACAAACCCCATGTGCCAGGTCGCACTGCCTGGAATGGGGAGTTAGGCCTAGCCCCACAGGACAGGAGCCACCAATGAAGGTGGAGTGCAGGGTGGGCTCACTTTCCAACCCCCTCCCTGACCTCTCCCCTGCCACGGGGGCCTCCCCTCTGCACCAGGCCAGGAAAAGTATGTTTGTGTAGGCCAGGGCCCACTGATGGGTTAATGTGGCGACCCATCTACAACCTTCCTGAGATAGTGATAGGATATTGCTGTTGGCCACTGCAGTAACGGTGGGCACTAGAATCTTTACAGTGGTTGTGTATCGAGGGGATACATGGATTGTAGTGTAATGTTTAATATAGTCACTTTAAACCCTTCTTCTGTTTCTTTTCCAGCACTTGCGCTATGTAACTTTCCTGTTGTTTCTGTATTTTTAAGTCTGACACTTGAGTCCTGCAAAAAAAAAAAAAAAAAAAAATCATCAGAAAGTTGACACTGGCAAGTGTCACGCTGCTAATTTATCACCAATTCTCCTGGTCGCTTCCTGGGCAGGTTAATCAGGGATCTTCTAAAGCAATTACTAAGGAAACGGCCGCATTAACAAGGAACCTTTATTAACCCAGAGCTAAAGGCTGCCCCGGTGGTAGCACTCAGGAGTTTTTTGCCACTCTGTATCCAGGTGTGTTAGCAAACGAGGGTTACACTGATTTCACTCCTTGGCATTAGCAACATAATTCTCCTGTTCCTGGCAATCAGTGTCAGGTTGGTAAATCAGACTCCAGGCGTGAAAGGTGCAGGGAAGACCCACTGCTCAGCCAAGAGGCGGCTCAGGCCTGGTACACACTTAAAAGTTATGTCTGCATTGCTACATGGTCCAGGGGTGTGAAAAACCCACCCCCCGAGCGACACAGCTATGCTGACAAAACCCCCAGTGTGGACACAGCTGCATTGATGGAAGAGGCTTCTGTTGATGTAGCCAACGTCATTCGGGAAGGTGGTGTTCCTACACCAACAGAAACACTGTGTGCAGATGTAGGCTGTGTCTAGGCTAGGGGGGTGACGCCAGCATGGGCCCCATGCTGTAGATACACCTGAAGAAGAATGCAGTGCTTTTTATTAGAGAGAATTTCATGCAGATGAAAGGTGCAAGGCCGGCAGCCACAGAGAGGGTTCATTCTCCATTTATCCACAGAGCAGGTACAACACGAGCACAGAATGCAAACATCCCCTGATTAATATGCCTACCCCCTGATCTGGAGGGACAGTCCAGAGGGGAAGTCTCCATGGACAACTCAGTCCTTGGCTGCTCTACTGAGACAGCTAGCAATGGGGCCGATGAATGGGTTTCATAATGCAGACACCCATTCCCAGCCACTGGGATCCGCCTGCGTGACAGATGCCTTGGTCCCTGTGCCATGCTGCCCTGGTTGCAATCAGCAGAGGCACTTGAGCTAGATCTCTCTCACTTTACACGTTGGGGGTTGGCAGGATGTTCTCTGTGAAGGGCCCTCAACTTTGGAACCTACTCCCCTCCCACCTGCTCTGAAACAGCACCGGTCTGCTGACCTTCCAGACATGCTGCAAGAGCCGGAAGGGGACTGACGGAGGCAAAAGGTCAGTGTGGAGGCAGATGGCTTGTAGTTGGAGTGAATTTACTGTGATTACTTTTGAAGTGACATCAAAGGCAGCTAGAGAGCCAGATGGGTAGATCGTTAAAACACTGAAACAGACAAAATAGACCCCGTATTCCCACTGAGGTCAGCGTCAAACTCCCACTGGCTGCAGCGTGAGGCTGATAACCATCTAAGGAGGTAATGCTCACTTGAGTGTTTGCTTCTGCTTGGTGATGAACTGCTGCAGCTCCTTAATTTCATTCTCTTTGTCATTCAGGAGATCCTCCTGTTTCATAATATGGCTCTCGATTTCTACCAAAAAAAAAAATGTGGAGAGGGGAGTTGAGGCTTAAAACTCACTTGAGATGCAGCTAATCTTCGGTGCATTTCTATTCCCTCTGGTATCAACATGGCAGCTGGATTTTTTTTTGGCCTTTGTTTTAAGGATTTCTTATAGTATCAGCTACAAACAGTGATACCGAAAACGTGGGGAAAATGTTCCAACACCCCCCAAAATGGAGATTAGCTCTGCAGTAGGTGCTGTTGAAATGCTGACAACAGTGACATTTGGCTACAGTCAGTTCTGGATTGGTTTCACATTATTGTGCATCTGATCATAAACACAAACGGTCTGCAATGCCGGCATGAATCCTAACTGGGGCAGCTGAGGTGAGAGGACAGCTTGTTAAACAGAAATACACCAAAAATAAAGGTTATTGGGTCTAGCCCCTTCCATCTGAAGGCTTCAGGACGCTGCACAGATGTCTGCAGGCTTCACAACACCCCTGTAAGGAAGGTATGTATCACTAGCAATATAGTACAGCTAGAGATATTGAGGCACAGAGAGGTTAAAGCGCTAATCCTGTGAAATGTGGAGTACCCCTGAATGCCCTCAGCTCCCATTGACTTCAGCTGAAGGCACTGGGCACCTCCCAGGAGACGTCTGGCACATCCCAGGATCAGGCCCCAAGTGACTTGCCCGATCACATGCTATATCTGTGGCAGAGATAGGCCCAGATCCCCCTATGCCTTCATCTCCAGGTCGTGCTTCCTGAAGCTAAACAGTAAGGTGCTTTCATTACAGATGAGGGGAAGAGACTGAGTGGAACAAAGCGTTGCCCTGTTAAATGTTTTATTGCTCAAACCCTGGATTGGGCCACGCACGACTGATTGCCTGGCCTGGGATTTCAGCCTAATGCCTCGGGAGCACCTTAACCTGATTTGGGAGGAAAACCTGACCAAAAAAAGAAGTAGGTAGATATTTAAAATGTGCCATCTGCTTGTGGAGAAAGCCAGCTCTCCTTAGCAGTCAAGCAGGGCCACTCCGAGCCTTTGCTCAATGACTCAGAGAAGCACGATTCCCTCTCTGCTCCTCCCTTTCTCCAGGAGGGGCCCGTATCTGCACCAGGCCTTTCCCAGCTGCAGAGTCCTTCCCTCCTGCACCAGCTCCGCTGATATACTAATGGGAGAGTGGAACCACAGCTCCACCAACTCCTTGCACTGCTTCATGCCCACGTAGGTGCCCGGGAATAGTGATTGCATGGAACGTGCTCCCCCATCCCCTGCACCTGGATCTACGGTCCAGAGAGACCCAGTGGCGGGTGGCATGTGTGTGTGTCTGTCTTGGCGGGAGTACGATATTAAGTCACATCACACTTCCTAATTAAAGTAAATCCTGGTTACTGGCCTTTTGTTTCTAAGCTGGTAGAGCAATGCATAACAGACTTAAGCCTCTGGTAAACTTACCATTGCATTTGCTTATTAGCTTGTCTTTTTTGGTGGATTCTCTTAGCGCTTTGCTCTTAACGTTGGAAAGTCTAGAATAGAAGCAACAAAAATGAAGGCAAGTGACATGAGTGTCAGTGTAATTTTAAATGCTGAAGAACCTTCCCATTTGCAAGGGCTGATCTTCCTTCTGCACCCACATGGCCATGCAACCCCCTTAGGCAGCTCTGAACATCTCAGCCACCACGGCATTTGGAGATCTCATTACCTGATGTGTACTCGCATGGCAGCTACTCTGCTTAGTCTCTGTTTGTCAGAAACTGGGAATGGGCGACAGAGGATGGATCACTTGATGATACCTGATCTGTTCATTCCCCCTGGGGCACCTGGCATTGGCCACTGCTGGAAGACAGGATACTGGGCTAGATGGACCTTTGGTCTGACCCAGTATGGCCGTTCTTATGTACTCAGGCATCCAAATGACACTGATTGGGACTACATATTTAAGCCCTGATCCTGCAAAAGTGATCCACTTGGGCAGGCCTGTAAGACCAGGCAAAGGCCCAGAGGCTTCAAAATGATCCCTACACACAAATCACTTTACAGGGCTGGGGCCTTAGGCAGAAATGCCCTTTAAAAAACGCTGCTGAACCTCTCCCATCACAAAGCAATACATTTTAGAGGCAACCTAAAGAGCCTTATCTTCCAAACCCTAAATTCCAGGCCTCACATTGCTGAACTTGGCTCCAAATTCATCAAAGCATTTAATCATGAGCTTAAAATTAAGCACATGCTTAAGTCCCATTTAAGTCAACTGAATTTAAATACATAGTTAAATGTAGTCAACAAGGGAGTTTGTTGTGATGAAGCTGATTTTATTACTTGTATTATTGTAACGGCCAGTTGCCCCAGTCACTGACCAGGGAGGGCCCCACTATGCTAGGGGCTGTACAATCAGAACAAAAAATGATTGCTATGGTTGCTAATAGCTTTTGCCTCCAATTCAGCAAAGCACTTTAGTACGTGCTTAACTATTTTCCGATCTCTAATTCTATTAAATTCAGGTAAACACACTTTGCTCCCACATGAGAACGGAGTCCCTAATTAAGTACAATGCTGTCATACCCAGCTTGGTTACTAACGAGACAAAATACTTGCTGCCTGTTTTCAAATATTAAAACACAAATTCCCCCTCCCCAACTTACGCTTTTTCAAAGACTTGTTTCTCTCTTTCAAGCTGCTTGGACAAAACCTCAATCTCCCCGAGCGCAAACTGCAGCTTCTCAGCTTCCTTGGCAAGCAGGATTTTGGTCTTTGAGTGCTCCTCCTCTTCTTTCTGTAATACACACAGCATCCCTATGTTCTCTGCCAGCCCCAGACCAATCCAGAGTGTAAATCACAGACTTATAGAAACGTGGGGCTTGAGAGGTCAAGACAAGCCCCCTGCGCTGAGGCAGGACCAAGTAAACCTATGCCAGCCCTGACAGGTGTCTATCCAACCTGTTCTTAAAAACCTCCAATGAGGGGGATCCCTTGGAAGCCTGTTCCAGAGCTTAACTACCCTTGAGTTAACCCTTAACTACCCTTAACGTTTTTCCTAATAACTAACCTAAATCTCCCTTGCTGCAGATTAAGCCCATTACTTCTTGTCCTAACTTCAGTGGACATGGAGAACCATTGATCACTGTCCTCTTTCTAACAGCCCTTAGGATATTTGAAGACTATTATCAGGTCCCCTCTCAAAATCTAACGTGTGTTGATCATTTACAGTTCCAGAGGACGTTTCACTTCAGAAGTTGCCAAAGCACTTTACGACCAGTCTAATCATTTTGCCCACTAATGAAAGGCAGCCATGGCGAGGATGGAAGGTGGTAGCTGATTAACAATGCACAGCAAAATTACAAAGCAAGTTAGGACAGGATGTGTTAACAAAACAAAAAAAAATGACTATAGCCAGTTGAAACTGCAAGGGAGTTGAAGGAGGCAGAATGCAAATCCCTACAATGGCCAGGCCACCGGCGCTAACACCCAAACTCTAAGGAAATGTGTCACTGGATCTTTAATGATCACAAGTGGACAAGTCCACCATTTTGTCTTCTCCAAAAGACAAAACCTTTGGCAGGACAGTGCCCCTAGCATCACTAAGGAATATTAATTCAATATCTACTCAGAGAGATGAGTGCCACTTACTGAATTATCCAGCCACACAATTCGTTAAATGTAAATAGTGAAAGATCTTGACTGGCCAATTTCATCCTTCTGCTTACAAGCGCTTAAGTAATCAGGGCGTTTATTAGTTACATCTTTCCTGGTGAACTTCAATCAAAGGATGGAAAATCCATTAATTACACAATATATGTGGGCTACCTCACTAGCTAAGGACCCGGGTGTCCCACTCCACTTGCTCCTACCATACACAACTTACCATTCAGGCTAAGAGGCTCTCAAACACACTAACAACTGAACACGTTTTTTCCATTGTTAGCTCAGTGATGGAGAGGATCTATCTGGCTCCCACTCATCCATGACATCTAAGCATGCACTCTGCTGTGATCTCCCAGTTACCATGGAGCTGGCATGGAAGAGGCCAACATGTCGCAGATTTTTTGGTATATTTGATACTTTGTAAAGTGCATTTAAAATTGACTATTATTTTATACCTATTGGAATTGAAATTATTTTTTAAAATGAAGTAAATGGATTTGTCATTTAATCACCTTTAAGCAACATCCTAAGCTTCATCTTCAACCAGGCATCACATAATAGATCAACTGCTCACAGCTCCAAAATAAACAGGGCTATTTTCTGTTCTGTTTTTCACAGGTTCTTATACGGCACTCCTCATGGTAGCATCTGAGCACCATCCAGTAGTAGTAATGCACAGCTCACAAGTGTTGTTTGCTCTCTCATCCTTGCCCACTGGGAGAGTTTTTTCTTTTTTTAAAATATACCTGTTGCGATGTATTTATATTAAAGAAGGCAAGGTCAAAGAAATGAGCCTTGCACTTGGAATGGAAGGTGGTGAGGTTAGTTCCTGAGGGGAAGAAGGGGGGGGTCATTGACCAGCTCCCAAGCACTTCCACTGGCTGAACAGATGTGTCTCCTCTCTCCCTCCCCTTCCCCCCATCCATGCTCCATGGGCCTCCTAGTACCTTTACCCTGTATAACCTCAGGAGCCACAAAAAGTTAAAATGTCAAACATCTAAGCAAGCTCCCAGGGCACTGACCTGGTTCTTTAGACAGCTCACCACATACGGCTCAAGCAAGTACAGCACCACTGAAAACAAAATAGCTAGACACAAAGATTTAAAAGGTTTCAGAGTAGCAGCCGTGTTAGTCTGTATCCGCAAAAAGAACAGGAGTACTTGTGGCACCTTAGAGACTAACAAATTTATTAGAGCATAAGCTTTCGTGGGCTACAACCCACTTCTTCGGATGCATATAGAGTGAAACATATATTGAGGAGATATATATACACACATACAGAGAGCATGAACAGGTGGGAGTTGTCTTACCAACTCTGAGAGGCCAATTAAGTAAGAGAAAAAAAACTTTTGAAGTGATAATCAGCCATACCATCAGGGGCTCGTTCACCTGCACATCTACCAATGTGATATATGCCATCATGTGCCAGCAATGCCCCTCTGCCATGTACATTGGCCAAACCGGACAGTCTCTATGCAAAAGAATTAATGGACACAAATCTGACATCAGGAATCATAATACTCAAAAACCAGTGGGAGAACACTTTAACCTGTCTGGCCATTCTATGACAGACCTGCGGGTGGCTATCTTAAAACAGAAAAACTTCAAAAACAGACTCCAACGAGAGACTGCTGAGCTGGGATTGATATGCAAACTAGACACAATCAACTCAGGGTTAAATAGGGATTGGGAATGGCTGAGCCATTACAAACATTGAATCTATCTCCCCTTGTAAGTATTCTCACACTTGCTTCTTATCAAACTGTCTGTACTTGGCTATCTTGATTATCACTTCAAAAGTTTTTTTTCTCTTACTTAATTGGCCTCTCAGAGTTGGTAAGACAACTCCCACCTGTTCATGCTCTCTGTATGTGTATATATATATCTCCTCAATATATGTTTCACTCTATATGCATCCGAAGAAGTGGGTTGTAGCCCACGAAAGCTTATGCTCTAATAAATTTGTTAGTCTCTAAGGTGCCACAAGTACTCCTGTTCTTTTTAAAGATTTAAAAAGAGAGGAAAAGGGGTGGGGGTGGTAGAGAGAATACACACCCAGAGAAGACTAGTTAGTGGTACTAAAACAGTCTTTTTATTCTGTTTGTGCCACATGTAGCCCCATGGAATCTTAGTCTGCTGACAATTAATACTCCTTTCCATGAGCTTCACTCTCTTTGGTGTCTAATTAATGCAGTACTCAGCGATTTTTTTTTTAGAACTGCTAAGCTGCATCAAGACTACCCTTGAGTCCAAATGCAGCTCTCCTACCTTTGAATAAACACTGCAAGGCTAATTTCAATCTGTTTGGCCTAGTTTCCAACAGAAATGGAAATCGTTACATTATTCATTGAGGCCTTCACCAGGATTGGAGCCCCATGGTACCAGATGCTGTTCAAAATGTACGAAGATTTAAGTCCCTACCCCCAAGAGGTTACTTACCTCCAACTTCTTTACAACAGCCTCATAATCCTCCTTACATACAAAATTCTCCTCCTGTATTGCTATCTGCAAAAGGAATTTGAAGTTCAATAGATCAGTTACATGCACAGATGGAGCTTCAACACAGTACGTTAGACCTCCAAGAGTGACTAGTGATTTTGAGTGCCCAACTTCATACCCTTCAAAGAAGGCTGACTTTCCAAGGGCAAATGCTCAGCATTTTCTGATCATCAGCCCTTTCTTAGGTGTCTCAACTTGGACACCCAAGGACAGACACACCCAAATCGCTCATGTTTTTTTAAAGGCCTGGCCATAAAATCCAAGTGTGGTACAATGACCCTGCTGCTAGCAGGTCACTGGGGCAGAGGTGTCTCAAGAAGAATTTACTATTTTGAACACAAACAAAACTAGGGGAAAGGTGCCTTGCATGCCCGTGAAAACAGCACTGGCACATGCAACACAAACACACCCGCTCACAGGCAAATGCCAGAGAGCCAGGGAGGGGGGACCAATGAGCACATGCACCCAATTGCTCAGACCCCAATCCCCTGCATCTGGGGCAGCCCACAGCATAGCCCAGGGTAGGGTAACCAGATAGCAAGTGTGAAAAATCGGGATGGGGGGGTAATAAGAGCCTTTATAAGAAAAAGCCCCAAATATCGGGACTGTCCCTATAAAATTGGGACAACTGGTCACCCTAGTGCGAGGTGAGGAGCCTCAGGAAGCCTCTGGGACAAAAGCCACAAGCACTGGCCCCACCCACCAACGCTCCAAGCCCCGCCCATCCGCGTCACCGCTCCGCCCATAGGCCCCCGCCGGAGCGCTGCGCTGACGCCCGCACCCGGAGCCGCAGCCGCTCTATTAGCGCCTCCTGGGTCGCGACGAGGTCCCGCAGCTGCCGGAAGGCCAGAGCCTCGGTACCCGGCCCCGCCGCCATCTCCGCGCTTCCCCCGCCGTTGGAAATGGCCGCCGCTTCCCCCGTGGCCAATCACAACCCAGCTCCCTCACCGCCCCCAGCAACGGGGACAGCGAGGCACCGCCCGCTGGCAACCGGGCGGGGGACACGCCCACTCCTTAAAGGCCACTCAGGGGCATGTCTACGCAGGCACGAAAAACCCGTGGCTGGCCCTGGCCGCTGATTCCGCCTAAGGGGCTGCTTAATTGCCCTGTAGCCATTCGGGCTGGGGCTAGTGTTAGGGCTCTGCGAGGGGAGAGGGTCCCAGAGCTGGGGCTGCAGGCTGAGCCAGAACATCTACGCTGCAATTAAACAGCCCCTTGGCCAGAGTCAGGTGGCATGGGCCAGCCCTGAGTGTCTAACTGCAGTGTAGACATACACAGAGGGAAACACAAAGGGGGTGGGGAGTGGACAGGGGGAGGGAGAAGAGGAGTTTGAAAGGAGAGCGGGAAGCTGAGCGGCCTGACCCGTAACCCCAGGCGCTGGGCTGCCCCAGCCTTGATGTGGGACCTGGGCACTGGTGACTAAGACAGATGGGAAAGGGAAGAGTCTCTCTCCAGTGGAACAGCATCACTGGGCCTTTGGGAATTGGCTACTGGGGGAGAGGGCAGGGGTATAGCTTGGGGTAGCATGGGCAAGGTGGCAAAAGGCCTGCAGGACAGGCTGGGTGAGGAGTGCCCAGGGCAGTAGGGAAGGGAGGCCATGATGAACCAGAGAGGCCAGCACAGTGTCAGCTGCAGGGGCCTGCAAGCCAGAGGAGTAAGCATTCCTGCTAGGCAGCCAGCTCGTGGGATCACTGACACTGTAAGTAGGGGAAGCCTGGGCAGGAAGAGAGCAAGTCAACCCTAGACATGTTGGGCCTAAAACCCATTTACACCTGTCAGTACATTCTATGCGGATACACCTTCCTTACACCTGTGTAAAGCAAAAGGAACATCAGACTCATGGAGCTGACACTGGAGACATCAGACAGGTTTAGATGTGGAACTGAATGGAGGATAAAAGGTTATCTGATTATAAACTCTTTGGGGCAGGGATCATCATGTCTGGGTTTGTACAGCACCTAGCACAATAGGGTTCTGGTCTGTGACTAGGGCTCAGAGGTGCTACAGCAACACAAATAATAATTAATGCCAATACCTAAAGGTAGTGGGAAAGGTGCTTCTCTCCTGGCTGTCACACAAAATTACCAGTCTAACAAAAGCACAGTGATAGCTCTGGCTTTGTTAATGGAAGTGTTGGGTTTTGTTTCTGGTGATGGTTAAAGGCACTCTTGCCATAGGAAAGCACCTTCAAAAAGGTGGATCTTACATTTCACCTAAACAGGCAGTTTTGGGCTTAGTAAACCGTGGGAAAATTGCTAAAATGTCATAGACAAGGCCCCTCCCTGTGGTTTCTTCTTACAATAGGCAGGGCTCTGCTGCTAATAATATTGTGCTCTGACACCTGGTCAAATAGTAGCCATTGCTGTATAGATGACAGCTGAAACCATAGCAAGAGATGAGATTACATGCAGGGGCTTTATCTATACAAGACTTCAGCAATTCTCCCACTGCTGGTGCAGGATCAGCACTAGCACTGATTGGGTCAGGTGTTCTAACTACTGGTCTGAGCAGGAAATATAGGAGAGGAGCTAGGGAACACTGGTGTAACTCTGGAAAGATATGTTAAAGGAGCAGTTAGAAAGCAATGAGAATCTTACAGCAATAAGGTGACACTAAAGAATGTAGGTTTCATCTTCTAAATAGTTGTCACTCTGCTTAAAGCATGTTTCCCTCCTATGTTTCTCCAAAACTCCAGTCCCTCCCACCCAGCTGCATTAATAGCACTGATTCTGTTAAGGAAATGAAGTTATATGGTGTCTGTTTCTACTGAGAATCATTCTCGTTTTTTCAGTAGTGACCCACTGGGAATGAGTCCAAGTTCTATGCAAAATGCAGTTGCACTGGCATTGATTTACTGATGTTAAATATATTTTTGATCTGTAGGTGGGCTGTACACAATGGATAATCTGTGTCAGCTGCTGATTAACAGGACTATTACAAGCAAATGGTTTACATTTATGACCTTTGATGCCAAAGCACTATACAATGAAGTATTGGGGTACAGATCAGAAGCCAGCCAGGGCATTTCACATGACAGGGAGTAGGCAATTTTGCTAAGGAGCCTGGTGCAGTCAGCTACTTTGATCATGTGTGATAGGAGAGAGAGCAAGTAGGAATTCAGTTAAAAAGGTACCTTCTGAAAGCTTCCCCCACATAGTAAACTCTAAGGTACTCACTTTATCAATATTGGAAGGCTTAAGGGACAAGTCAGTCCTTTGGGATTTAAGCATCTGGCTGTATGGGGGTTTAGGAACTTCCTCATGTGAGGCTTGTTTCCGGCTGATGTGCTTGAGTCTGCTAATGTTAACAGTTACTGTGTGAGTGTGACAGTTAACTGTGAAATATTTCTCAAAGATTTGGGAAGAGGGAACAGATCAAATATCTTTATAGAAAGGCTAGATTGTTCCTTGGAATATTTTCCTAGCTGCAACGGGCTAACATCATTAGAGCTGGTCAGAAAATTTCCAACAAACCAAATGCTGATTCGTTGCAGTGAAATGTTTTGCTGAATCTATTAAATATTCACAAAAACTTTTGCCTCAACACAGGCAGGTTTTTACTGGACACCTGCCAGCATTGTAGGGTTCACAGCTCTGGCAGGGAGCCCACCAGTCCCCGGAATCCTGGCAGGCATCCCATGCCACACAAGGGATGGTGCCAGCCCTAGGATCCCAGGCTGGAGGCTGGGCTCTGGGAGGTAGCAGCCTGGGAACCCTGGCTGGAGATGTCTCTGGGATGCTAGGATCCATGTCCGGGAGCCTGCTAATCCCTTCAGAGCCCCAGCCAGAACTGGGAGCCTAGCATCCTCAAGAGGCTGAGCTCCAGCTGGGGTTCCCAGCAGTGCTGCAGAGCTGTTAAGTGACATTGACAGGAATGTTACTTTTGCATTTCATTTGAGGACCATTTCATTTATGAAACAACATTTTCAGGGATGTGTGATTCATCAAGAAATTTAAGTACATTTGCTTTAATTCTAAGTTAGAACTAAAGCAAATTTGTAAATACTGGAATCCCTGTGTTTTGCCCATCTCCACTCATTAGATAAAATTACTGCATCACGATCACCAAGATTTCCATGGCTTGAGAGGAGTAACTGTTAACTTGGCCTCTCGCGTGCTCTGCTAGTTGGTGGTTCTAAAGCAGCACACAGGCTGTTACAAGTCACTCTGATTTGCCATGGTATGGTGGATTTGTTTTTTAGTTTGACTGCAGAAGTTGGGAGGGCATTTTCCACCCTAATATCATATTAAGGTGACTTTGGCTTTTAACTTCATGTTGGTGAACTGATTTTGAAAAACATACACTAATCTATTTAGATATGAAACCAGCTTCTTTGATTCCACTGGAACAACTTACCAAGGGTTATGGTGGATTCTTTATCACTGGCAATTTTTAAATCAAGAGTGGATTGAATATTTTTCTAAAGATTTGCTCTAGGAATTATTTTGGGGAAGTTCTATGGTTTGTGTTACTTAGGAGGTCAGATTAGATGATCACAATGGTCCTTCTGGACTGGTGTTGGAATATATGAATCTATTGAAGTACAGATAGCCTTGACTGCAGCTAAGCAGTACAATGGGTTTGGCTGTTGCTGCACCTCACAAACTCCTGTGAGGCATAGGGATAGGGGACAGAAACACATTAAGCACTTATTCGGTTGTTTGCTACCCAGATCTGGTTTTAGGCTTGGTCTTAGCACCTCTTTTTCAGGCCTGACTCTGGCACAGACATAACCGATGGCATGGTAGCTTCACCTGCTACTTCCTATTGATAACTTTTGATGGCACTAGCTTTAGATGTAGCCTTGTTAAATCTTATATCCCAAAAGAGTGCTTCAGGGAGCACAATAATAGCTCGGATCAACATTCCAAGATGAACAGCGTGGCTCCATTACATTTAATACAAAAACTTTATCTTCTGATTAAGAGTACACAAGTCAAAACAAACTAAGGTCTCAAGAACTGAGCTGATTATTCAGACCCACCAATCAAGACAGAACTGATTTTTCCAGAATTCTTACTGTAGTAAGGACAGAACAGCTTATTTTCTAATCATCTAGTGTAACAATACAGAGAGGAAATATACACAAATATACAACTTATATAAATTAGATCTGTACAGTCAAGGTTCAATGGACTGATACACTATTACAGTATGGCCAATATGGATTTACTTAAGGTAAATGGAATATACATTCAGAAAATAAATACTTTAACATCTCCTACTGAAATAAGTTAAATAAATACGAATACTAAGTTTGCACTTTCCATTAAACAAAAGTTTGAAACCAACAAAATAAATGCTACACCTTTTGATGTGTCATGCGTGCTTAGGTAAGAAATAATTTATAATAATATCACCAGGAAATGCAAATCTTTAGTTTACACTACCAGCTGTATTTACCCACAAAGTGAGCATCTCTTTAGTTGGACAAATATTGAAGAAAATACATAGTTAACCCTGACTATAAATCTGTATGTTCTAACATTACTGCACTTTGCAACAGAGCAAAGTGCAAAACTGTTTCTAGTATCAATTAACTGGTTATCGTGGGCTGCTCCTATCAAAATCCAGTGCATCAGAGAAGATCACACAATAGAGCCATGTTTCCAAAGCATATGGCCAAATTCTCCCTTTGGATACAGGTATACATCCGTCATTGGCTTAAATGATATTTGTGTGAGTACATCTAAGGATAGAGTTTGTACCTTATGTTGTCTCAGGGGCTGTCAAGAAGAAGAGAGATTGGGAATTTCAAGTGGACCATAGATAGGAAGACAGCGTTAATGGCTTGGTCTGAAAAGGTAATCTAGTATCTCCAAGGATAGCCTTCAAAAACTGCTTTGCTTTCTCTGTGTGGAGGAAAACAGGCTTTTCAAGTGGCAATGCTGCCCTGCCTTGTCCCCCCACCCCCAGGCTGCTTAAGAAGCCAAGAGTGTTCCATCTTCACAAGTAACTGACGAACCACTGCTTCAGGGTTATGGCCACCAGTGGGACAGTAATTCATTTTATATTAAAAGTCTTTGTGGAAACTATTGCACATTGTCAATTTCACATGATAAAGCCCAAAACTCCACAACCATGTCTCTTTTCATATTCGGTATCTTTTCATATTCAGTATGTACATAAATTAGAATGTGAAATCCTTCATTTCTAAAAATATAATTATATTCACAAACCTTTTGGAATTCTCAAACAAACAGCCCGGAGTGCTTACAAAGCTTCAAGCACCTTCTTAAAAGTAATACATGTCCTTACACAGCTCATATTTATATCATGGCAGGAAATATTAGAAGCCTAAATCAAAATGAACACGCCCTACTTGCTGCTCAGAAAAACACTCTAATTTAAAGACCAGGAAATAGAAGTTGATCACAATTTGGTAAATGCCTTCTGGTTAAAGAAAGTAGTTCATTTAACGAGTTACTGTTACCTTGAGAAATATTTGACTAGATTTGATCTATTTTATCTATTTTCTAGCAAAAACAGAAGTAGTGACAAACATTAGCACAAGACATTTTATGTTGCTAATTGTTTTTACTCACATACCCTAGAATACTGGCATTGAAGTAGTCTCTGAGAAGGATTTTAATCTCCGATATGATGCCATGATTCTGAATACAGAACATCTTACTGTTTTTTAAAACATCTCTTTACTTTTCAGTCTTGTTTTCCACTTAATCATGGTCTCTTTTTAGTCCCACAGAAATCTCCTAATCTGCTTCTTGTAGATCATGTCCTGCCTCTATAAAACACTTTAAGATTGTTGGATGAAAGGTGCAATATAGTGTAAATACAAAATATCATGTAGGTATTCAAGTTATATACAGTACATGTTATATGTCTAACCAGATTATAGCATTCAGTTTTCCTACCACATTTTTGATAGTACTGGGAGCATAAATTAGAAATAACTGGAGGATACTAAACTCGATGTAAACACTGACCTACTATTCACATAAAATCTATTGTGGTTTATATCAAATTATATAAACAATGCTATATTAAAAAATCTTTATAAACAAAGTCAAGTACAGCACTCAGATTAGGAAACAGCAGAATTAAGGTCACCTGTGAAATGTTAATTTGGCACCCTTGTGAACGTGCACAATGATACAATCTTTAATTATATGATGACATACTATTTTTTCCCCCTGCAGGATCCCTGCCTCATTTAGAGCACAGGATGGATGTTGCTTGCTGAATAAGCAGCTACTCAGTATTTTGTTTTATCCTCATTGAGCAGTCTGTGACGTCCATCCTTATTTATACTGCACGCCATCCAAGCCCTGCACCAAATACAGATTTAATTTCTTTGTGGGTTTTCTATCACTATAGTATTTGAGTGCTTCACAACCATTAATCTATCTATCTTCACAACACCCTTAGAGAAAAGGGGGTATTATTCCCATTTCACATATTGGGGGGCTGAGGCAGAGAGATTCCTGTCAAAATTATCCAAAGTGCCTGTGGTCTGATTTTTCAGAAAACTCAGCACTTCTGCAACTCAGTCCCCAGGTGTCTCAAATCAGGCTCTCACAAACTAGTGGCCACCCGTGAAAAAAGTTTGGCTTAAGTGACTTGCCCAGCACCACACAAACTCTGTGGCAGAGGCAGGAACAGAATCCAACTTTTCAAGTGCAGCATTCAGTTGCGTTAGCCATCAAACTATCCTTTCTCTTACTGCAATCCCATTTCATTCCCTACACACCTTCCAATTTCTACAATAAACGGTCCTACAGACAACTGTCTCTATGCAACCCGGATTCATTTTTCCTCAGCACTGTGCATCCTGTACATTGAATGAGGCAGGGGTCCCGTGGAAAAAAAATAGTATGTGATCATGTAATTATAGACTGCATCATAATGCATATACACAGGGAGTGCATTGACACTGGATGGGCAACCTTAATTCTGCCATTTCTTAACTTTGGAGCCCATGACTTTGCAACCTTAACATTATTCTAAGGTAGTATTTTGTATGTGATCTCCTAGATTTAAAAAAAAAAAAAAGGCAAACTGTGGCTACCTGCACTACCTATAGTGAGGTTTAAAAGTGGGTGGAGTATTGGATTAGTTCTAGTGGAGAGGGGTCAACACATTACAAGAGTCACTATTGTCACTAGATCCGGGCTGAAGATGGGATCTTCTCTACCACTACATGTAATGTACCTGGTCTGTGGAAAAAGACAATTTCATCCTCTAGAAGAGTCCGTTCAACAAATTTGTAGACGGAGAGTCCCGTTAAGGGGGTAGGCATACGTGGTTTAAAACCCACCTTTGGACAGCCTTGATCCTTCTGCAGCTGCATGCAGGCCGGTCTCTTTGTACTGTTAGAACAGCTCAAAGGATGCTCTAATTTACACCAGGCTGAAATAGTTACAAGGGGCCAAAATGCAACTGAGGATTGACATGCTGCAGAAGCATCTGGGCCATGCCCTCTTTTCCCTGCTACACTGGCAGCGGGGTGGTCGTGTGGCATAAGAGCCTCTACATCAGATCTAGTCCACTGGAGGATCAGCCTTACAGTTCCTAGGCCAGTTAAATTAGATTATAATGGTAATGCAGCACACAGTAGCTGCCCTGCACTAGAGTAACCCACCCAGTAACTTGATTATTTGTAAAAACATTTTGTTCTCTGCTGCTTATGAGTACATCTCTTTCTCTGCCTTCCATTAAGTGAAGATTTTATAAAAGAGGATTATAAAACAGGAGAGTAATAAATTAGTATTACAAAGAAAAAAAAATCCAATCTCTAGAGTGAAACATGCATGACAATTGCACATCAAAGCAAGAATGTGTTAAATAAGAACTGTATCAAAAAACTGCATGCAGAATCTGTTGGAGCAAGAAGAAAGAGAAGGCTTGGAGATAAAATCAAACTAGACAATAAGCTTAAAAAATAAAAATACTGTGCCACTGAATAGAATACATGAGAAAAATGCATCTGCAGTCTCTTCTCCAGTGGCTTGGCAGTCATAAGAATCCACCTAAGATTTCTTTCCTGCTGTAAATTTAACAAATTATCACCTCTTGTAAGTTTCTGATTACAATGAAACTCTCAAAGTTTGAGCTGGTTTTCTTAGTTAGCTGTGGAAAAGCTTCTCCCGCTCATTGCAAAAGAGATGGGATACACCTTTGCTTAATTAAGTCCACTGACATCCTTCAAATTTAGCTAAAGAATAGCTGTAATTTTCACAATGAATGTTATCATTGCAAGTTTTCCATGTGAGAGAAAAGGATAAATGGGTGAATTCAAATGAGATATTGTGGCAAGAGCAGGGACTCCAGGAATGCATCCCACGTGCACAGCAATGAATGTTAGCAACTGAGATGCTATTGCAGGAACAAACAATTTCCAAGTTCCTACTTGCAATCTTAATTACATCACTAATTATAAAAGAATAGTACAGGTTTGGATCTAAATTCAGCAAAGCACTTAACACATGCTTAATTTTAAGCACATGCTTAAATCTCATTGACTTCAATGAGACCTAAGTACATGCTTAGGTACTTAGCTGAATCAAGGCCTTGATGAATACTTGAGCTAAGCACTGGAAAGTAGAATGGAGCAGGGAGTATGCCCTCTAATTTTTTTTTCACAAGCCATTTTGGATGCAACGACATCAGCTTCAGATGACTATGGGAATGCCAGCATATAACTGAAAACTACATCGCCTGAATGACTGAGTGTGGTCTATGTCCAAATAAAATACAGAGTGTATGGGATATTATGTATACCTTTCTGGCAAACAAAGTTGCTTGGGTGGCAGAAAAACTATATCAAATGAAGACTGGTGCCACACTAAGCTACATTTTAGGGAGTTAATTTACACTGAATGCCATTGGTCCTTGGAACCAAACAGAATATACAGTATATTAGAGCAAATACTGTGTCTATGGCTCAGCGTTGCCCAGTTCGGTGAAAATTACAAAGTTACCAATTATTAAGACTCTTCATTAGGCTCTTTTTCTTTTCTTTTTTTAATAAATACAAAGGGAAATAGAAACAAGTTAAAACAGCAATAAATAACCCAGCATTTGTCTGGCCTACTCAGCCCCCCTTCTGTAGTCCAATAAGATTGGAGAGCTTTTCACAGTGCTCAAGTTTCAGTGACTCTGCTTTCTGTTTTAATCGCTCATCTCGGTATAATCTGGCCAAATTCGACAAGTCGGATTCTGAAAGATGAAAAAGATAACATTAGAACAATGCTACTGAGCCTGATGTGTATAATCATTTTTAAATGCTTCATTTTCCTCAATACATTTTTATAAGATTAATAAAATCTTTAAGGAGACACTGTCAGCCCAAATTGGGCTAGGCATTTAGGAAAGTAAAAACAAATATTTCCAACATTATTTCAAATTTTAACCGTATGAAATAAACCATCTCCTGCAGTGTTTGTAATCCAAACACTGCAGCCTTGTGCTAGTGCATGAGAACCAGAAAATGAAACCGATTGTCTATTTTCATTGTCCACAAAGAAAAATACAAAATGTAAACAAAGAGCAGAGTGCAGTGGTGCCCAAACTGTGGTGCGTGCACCTCTTGGGGGGCACGGAGGAACCTTTGGGGGGGCAGGGAAATGATCAATGGAGCAACTAAACTGCTAAAATCCTTTGAGTTACTGAAAAATTATTTTTAGTCTTTCTGATTTGCTCACTAATATAATTTTCTCCTTAAGGAAATTACCAATTGAAAACAGTTAAATATACCTATGGAGAATAGCAGACATGGATTTCTGAACAGGTCAGAAAAGTTTCCTTATGCACAAGCTACCTGCTGACATTCAATTTGTTTGAAGAACTTTACACAGCTGTCAGATCACACAGCCAACAAGCTGATTCAGTATGGAAAGAACCTCACAATGGGACAAATCTTGTAGTCACTACTCTGTCCCACTGCAATCTATGGGAGTTTTGATTGAGTAGTGACTATAGGACTTTGTTCTTTGTATTTACTGAATGACTCTATAGACTGACAAGCATTAAAGATTTTTATTTTGAAACAGGAACCCATTCCTCCATTCCCTAACACTAAAATACCATCCACTGAGTACACACATGAATTTGGAGCAGGCACCTGTACAAGAACATGTTTTCAGATGTCAGCCAAGACTAGGCTGGTCTCAGCACAGCGGGACTCTCAGCCAACTAGCTTTAAAATGAAAGCTTATTGAAATGAAGTCTCTGTTACGGGTTCTCTCACGGGGTCAAACTTCTTACTGTGGGATGTTTATGCCTTTGCTGGTATGAATTTCATCATGTAAATCTCCTATACTTTATCTGATTCTTTAAGCTGATTTGTCCTTATATCTTTTAATATCCAGTTAATCTTTATAAAGGAAAATAATGTAATATGGTATTCATAGAATATGTTGTTTCAATGTCATATTTCAACCCTCTATTTTCAGTTGCCTTTATGTGGTGTTCTTTGATCCTGAATTTTGTTAACTTCAGTCTTACATAGAAATTGCCCTACCACAACAGACCAACGGTCCATCCAAATCTGGTATCCTTTCTTCCGCCTTGGCCTATATCAGATGTTTTAAAGGAAGACAAAAAGCCACAGCACACCCAGCCTATTGTGCAATACTAAGCCACAAGAGGAGAAACACTGCCTGCAGCTGGCAATCCAATCTTTTAAAATAAATAAGAGACACCAAAAAAGTGATCGGTCGACCATGTAATTTAGTGGACTAATAGGCTGTTGAATGACTACTTTGTAGTCTCCAATAATGAGGTAGACAGACAGCAGATAAAACTTTTCAATGGTCAGATCGAAGACAATACAATATCCATTGTTCCTATAGTTTTAACTTTGCGAAACTGTATATATCGATATCCATCAGCAACAAAGTAAACTCCAGTAAATAAAACAAACTCCCTACTACCAATAAGTACTCATTTAACAAAATGCATGGCCCGAATGAGGCTAAACATCTGAACAGAAAGGAATTAATGGACCAAAGTTACAAAAGAGCTGATTAAAGGTCTCCAGAGAACTTTTCTCCATGACTGTGTTTTGCATTCAACACAGTTTATTTTTATAATCTTGGCTGTACTAAAGTTAGCACAGTCTCAGTTGTACTCATTACTGGCTCACTGGACCAGATGATAAGCATTCTTAAACGGTTTTTAATTACTGTGGTATCCTCAGGCAACTGCTAATCTCAAACACTGTAAATATAGTTGCAGATGTGTTTCTAACGTATACCATGGCTAATGATGGGAGCATATGTTTTTGCTCGTTAGTTAACGGAATGGCAAAATTGTAATGTTTTCCTTTGCTAGGCATAATAGTCCTAGGAAACATCTCTCTCAAATTTGTGGATTTTAGAGAGGATATAAAATTCAGCTTTAAAAGTGCCAGAGCCTCAACTGCTATAAATTTGCATTGAAGTCAATGGATCTCAACCATTTACCTTTGAAAATTTGTGGCGATCAAGGGAGGTCCCGGACGATTGGAAAAAGGCAAATATAGTGCCCATATTTAAAAAGGGGAAGAAAGAGAACCCAGAGAACTACAGACTGGTCAGCCTCACTCCCGGCAAAATCATGAAGAAGGTACTCAAAGAATCCATTTTGAAGCACTGGGAGGAGAGGAAGGTGATCAGGAACAGTCAACATGGATTCACCAAGGGCACGTCATGCCTGACCAACCTGATTGCTTTCTATGATGAGATAACTGGCTCTGTGGATATGGGGAAAGCGGTGGATGTGATATATCTTGACTTTAGCAAAGCTTTTGATACAGTCTCCCACAGTATTCTTGCCAGCAAGTTAAAGTATCGATTGGATGAGTGGACTATAAGGTGGATAGAAAGCTGGCTAGATTGTCAGGCTCAATGGGTAGTGATCAACAGCTCGATGTCTAGCTGGCAGCCGGTATCAAGCATAGTGCCCCAGAGATCGGTCCTGGGGCCGGTTTTGTTCATCATCTTTATTAATGATCTGGATGATGGGATTAATTGCACCCTCATCAAGTTTGCAGATTACACTAAACTGGGGAGGAGAGGTAGATACGCTGGAGGGTAGGGATGTGTCCAGAGTGACCCAGACAAATTGGAGGATTGGGCCAAAAGAAATCTGATGAGGTTCAACAAGGAAAAGTGCAGAGTCCTGCGCTTAGGAAGCAAGAATCCCATGCATCGCTACAGGCTGGGGACCGACTGGCTAAGCAGCAGTTCTGCAGAAAAGGACCTGGGGATTACAGTGGATGAGAAGCTGGATATGAGTCAGCAGTGTGCTCTCGTTGCCAAGAAGGTCACGGGCATATTGGGCTGTATTAGTAGGAGCATTGCCAGCAGATCAAGGGAAGTGATTATTCCCCTCTATTCGACACTGGTGAGGCCACACCTGGAGTACTGCGTCCAGTTTTGGTCCCCCGACTACAGAAGGGATGTGGACAAATTGGAGAGAGTCCAGCGGAGGGCAACAAAAAGGCTGGGGCACATGACTTACGAGGAGAGGCTGAGGGAACTGGGGTTATTTAGTCTGCAGAAGAGAAGAGTGAGGGGGGATTTGATAGCAGCCTTCAACTACCTGAAAGGGGGTTCCAAAGAGGATGGAGCTAGGCAGTTATCAGTGGTGACAGATGACAGAACAAGAAGCAATAGTCTCAAGTTGCAGTGGGGGAGGTATAGGTTGGATATTAGGAAACACTATTTCACTAGGAGGGTGGTGAAGCACTGTAATGGGTTACCTAGGGAGGTGGTGGAATCTCCATCCTTAGAGGTTTTTAAGACCTGGCTTGACAAAGCCTTGGCTGGGATGATTTAGTGGGTGGTGGTCCTGCTTTGAGCAGGGGGTTGGACTAGATGACCTCCTGAGGTCCCTTCCAACCCTAATATTCTATGATTCTATGATTTACACTAGCTGAGGATCTGGCTCCTATTACAACCATAGGGTATCAAAGAGAAGGTTATGATAGTCTATGAATAGCTATATGGGGAACAGAAATGTTACAATCAATGGCTCTTCAATCTAACAGGCAAAGGTTCAACATGATCCAATGGCTGGGACTGGAAAAGGGGCACATTCAGACTAGAAATAAGGCACACGTTTTTAACAGTGAGGGTACTTAATCACTGGAACAATTTAACAAGGATTGTGGTGGATTCTCCATCACTGGCAATGTTAAAATCAAAGTGAGAGGTTTTTGTAAAAGCTAGCTGTAGTTGAACTAGAGCATATTAGACTTGAAGCAGGAATTAATTCAGGGAAGTCCTATGGCCTACATCATGCAGGAGGCTGGACTAGATCGGGGTTTCAAAAACACGGCCCGCGGAGTTATTTGCTGTAGCCCGCCAAGCTCCCCTCCCCCGCCGCCCCCAGCGCGCCGCATCCTTGCTCCTCTGCCTACCTCCAGGCACTTCCCGCTGCCAAACAGCTGTTTGGCAGCGCTTAGCGCTTTCCAGGAGGGAAGGGGGAGGAGCAGGGAGCCGCACGCTCAGGGAAGGAGGCAGAGAAGAGGCGGGACAGGGGCGTGGTTTTGGGGAGGGGGTTGGAATAGGGGCAGGGAGGGAGTGGAGTTGGGATGGGGACTTTGGGGAAGGGGTTGGAATGGGGGTGGGGAGAGGCGGGGCCTCATGGAAGGGGTGGAGTGGCGGCGGGGCTTGGGGCTTTTGTACCTTTATATGAAAAGGTGTCAGTGATGCAGCCCTCTGGCCAATGTACTAGTCCTCACATGGCCCTTGTGGTGATTTGAGTTTGAGATCCCTGAACTAGATGATTACATCGGTCTCCTCTGGCCTTAAAATCTATTAACCTTAACTATGGAGCAACAGTTGCTATCTCATAATACATATAAGCCCTACTGGAGTCTGAAGCCTTGTTTACACTAGCACATTCCATGTCAGCAACAAGCATATTCCTTCTCCCCATGATTGTACACTGGCTGGCTTACCCTCCTCACCTTAAGATGTGCTTTGGGCTGAAAGCTAATGTACAAATGTAAAATGCTGAGCGGAAGCTTATTGCATTTATGAACTGATGTTCAGTGCTGGACCTTCTCCTTCCTCTAACTCTCAGTCCCTTTTAGACTTGCAAACTCTGGGGCATGGAATTTTAGAAATGTAGGGCTGAAAGGGACCGCAAAAGGTCATTGAGTCCACCCCCTCAGCACCAAGGCAGGACCAAGTATACCTAGACCATCCCTGACAAGTGTTTGTCCCATC